TTATTTATTTATTTATTTATTTATTTGTCTTGTATGCCGCCCACTTCAGGAGGACTCCGGCGGCTCACAAAAGACAAGGGAAAAGGGGGAACGAGGCAAAGACAACATATTAAAAACAAAACCAACATTCACAATTTCCGTGGAGGTAGATGCTTCACAGCTCCCCCCAGCATACTGGAACAGCCAGGACTTGGTGGCTTTGCGGAAGGCCGGGAGGGAAGTAAGGGTCCGGATCTCAACAGGGAGCTCGTTCCAGAGGGCCGGAGCTGCAACAGAGAAGGCCCTCCCCCAGGGAGTCGCCAGCCGACATTGGCTGGCAGATGGAATCCAGAGGGGACCCAACCTGAGCGATCTAATTGGTCTGAGAGAGGTGATCGGCAGGAGGCGGTCTCTCAGGTACCCAGGTCCGATGCCATGTATGAAAAAGACGTGTCTTGTATATGAAAAAGACAACGGAGTCCTTCCGGAGTGGGTGGCATACAAAACCAATAAACGAAAAGAAAAACAATCCCTCCAAAAAAATAGCAAGAAAAATAAACTTTCCCTCTTCATCCTCAGCCAGCATATTCCACATCAACCCTTTATTGTTAAATAAATCACCAGATGCATCTTCATTCCACCCCACAACCCATTTTCTCCTCTCTAAATATTCAGTTCTCTTCATTGATCAACAAAGTTTGGTAAAAATTAACAGAAATACCTGGTTCCTTGACTTACGACTGTAGCAACCTATGATCAGAAATCCATTCCAAGTTGTGGTCATAAGTCAAGGACTTTCTGTACTCTGCAAAACATATCTACTCCTTGCACTCTCATAACTCTTTTGTATAATGACTCAGATAAGTGACTAATGCTGTTTTGTGAGCAAAACAACCTCACACCCAGCACCTACATGCCCTTTTGCATCGTTGTGTATTCTGATGGAATTTGAGGTGGTTGACTAGGAAAACCATTTTCCCCACACAAAACAATTGTAGGATTACCTTTCTGTCAGTTTGTGAAGTTCTTGGTTAACTTTAAGATATGACTGTTGGGGAGAAAAAGGGGAGGGTCCCACAAGGTTTTTCTGAAGAGATTTATCTGCTATGGACTTTCTGGTGCTTTTTAAGGTCTGATTCACTATGAAAAGATTTCTCACACTTTGTGCACTTGTGAGGCCGCTCTTTTGCGTGACTTCGGGTATGTATGAGAAGTGATGAAGGATGGGCAAAACATTTCCCACACTCCAGACACTTATTCGGTTTCTCTCCAGTGTGGATTCGTTGATGCATCACAAGGGTATCTTTCCGAGAAAAACATTTATCACAATCTGAGCATTTGTGGGGCTTCTCTCCTGTATGGATTCGGTTGTGACTTGTAAGGGAACATAAGTAAGCAAATGTTCTCCCACACTCCAAACATTTGTGATTTTTTTCCCCCGTGTGAGTTTTCACATGACTTTTAAGGGCTGATGAGGTACTATAAAATCTTCCACAGTCGTTGCATTGATATGGCTTCTCCCCTGTGTGGGTTTTGTGATGACCCAAAAGGCCTCGCTTCTCTGCA